TCGATGGGCTGAATTGCACAAAACGCATGATCGCACCGGCTAGTCTGGTGCGTGTTGCCATTTATTATTGCTTAGGGGGGAAAAAGGTTGGAATTCGGAAATTTGAAACTCCATCTGATGTAAAGTTAACGCAGAAGCAGTTTTCAAGCCCCATTTTCTTGGCTTAATAGGCTCGGATTCAAATTATTTTTAAAACACTGGAGCGCGGTATGCCCTAATTCGAAGGTTACGACGTAAAAATCCATTTATAGGTACAATGAGGATCTCAAAAATGTAGAATTTCCAAACCTTTCTGATTTTTTGTCAATTTCCCTTACCACTATCATTGTGAAAGCGAACAGTGGGGCGATGTAGGAATGCAAGCTTATACAGTTCTTGGTATTGCTGCAACGGCTGGATGAAAAGAACACTAAACAAAGCTGGACGAACGGCAGTATTAGGTCTTTGCGTGGTCTTTGACTGCAACAGCGGAAGACAGTGAAGAGTGCCAGCGCTTTATTCAATAACAAAAGCTTCACTTCAATGAAACGAACCGGGGCATCGCATAATTTTTATTCAGCGGAGGGAGAACTTAAGTCGTACCGAGGCGGCCAGTTAGCAGCGTTATTCGTAACAAAATGTGGCGCGCATTGGCTTCGAGACTTCGACCCTTAGGGTTTTCGAAAACGGTTTATAAAGGGGAAATTAATGGAGGGAAAAGGAGACAAAGGCGGGGAGCAGTAGGTAATGTGGAATTATTTCGAATATAGTAGAAGTGCTAGAAATTAGTGGGTGGAGGGAAGTAGGGCAAGTATTTAGGATTACAACAGAAGAATCACGAAAGTCACAAGTATCTGAGTGCAGTCCTTCACCGAGTTAACTAGAAGCAAACAGGACATAGTCACACCAATTCGCTCCTTATTAGTCATAAGAATCACACGTTATTTCATGCCATCCATTCCCGGCTATAAGTAGCCAACATGTAGGCTTGGTGTGAAGCTTCCGGAAGAAAGTCTGCTTCAAACGCTGCGTCAAAGCAAAACAAAGAAGTATTATCAAGCAAAGAAGGATGAAATACCTAAGAAAAACTCGAAACTTTGTTCACCGGAATCTGGTAACCTTTGCAAACGTTCCTGGCAACGCCTGTCGCAGTCCAGCAAACTTGAACCCTGAAAAATGCAATCCAAACATACATCTGTTAATGAAAATGAGGAAAATCTGGCCTCAGCACTGTTGCGGCCTCATCTGCTGGATACCAAGAATGCTTACGTTGTAAGGAAGAGCCATGGCTTTCAAAATCTCCTCGAACTTTTCGACGAAGTGCTTCTCCTCGTCCTGATAGTCTTCAAGCGTATTTGCTAATTCTTCCTCAAACACCTCGTCTACTTCTCTGAAATACAATCCTTTCAAACATATATTTCAATATAGTTTGACAAAATACTTCAATATGATACAAAACTTCAAACAAAAATACTTCCTCAAACACCTTGTCTACTTCTCTGAAATACAAATTTTCAAAAAAAAAAATATTTCAATTTTTAATTTCTGATTGTGGAGGCCTAATCTAAGGAAACATTCTGAA